GTCAGGTTGATCCGTAGCGTTAGAATCCCGAGAACAATGTTTTGACATGCTTCAGGGTCTTCAAAGGGTTGTCTTCCAACGAGGCAGCTCCCTCAATGGAAATGAACAGTTGCAGGGGCCGGTGAAGAGGGAGCTTGGAGGGAGGGTTTATTCCAACATCGCTGATGACTCTTAAGTTTACACTGGTCCTCCTCCTCCTCCTCCTCGCTCCTCCTCCCCCTCCCCGCTCGGCAACCCGTTCCTCGCCCCCCCCCCCCCCCGACGCCCAGCGTATCCATATCAACCTCGGGCGGCCCAGCCCCGCACACGCCCAGCGGAGCACTCAGCCCACTCCTGCACCCCCAACGCGGTCCACTCCCCCTGGAGTTCGGTCGGGCATGTCCTCCTACAGGCGGACGTTGGAGGAAAAATAAATTCCCAAATCAGAGCTTGCCTCTGTGGGGGTCCTAGCAGATTCACATGGTTAGGTTAGCTGTGGCGCCGAGTTCGGCGGCACGCCCGGATGCCCAGGTGCCCGGGTGCCCGGGTGCCCAGATGCCCGGGTGCCCAGGTGCCCGGGTGCCCGGGTGCCCGAATGCTTAGGTGCCCGAATGCCCGGGTGCCCGGGTGCCTGGATGCCCGGGTGCCCGGGTGCCTGGGTGCCCGGGTGCCCAGGTGCCCCGGTGCCCCGGTGCCCGGTATAGCCCTATAGCCTTATAGCCCTATAGCCCTATTATAGCCCCATAGCCCCAAAGCCCTATACCTTTATAGACCTACCTATAGCCCTATAGCCCCATAGCCCTAATAGCCTATAGCCCAATAGCCCATAGCCCTATAGCCCTACAGCCTACAGCCTACAGCCTCATAGTCCTATAACCCCAAAGCCCCATAGCCCTATAGCTATATAGCCCAATCGCCCAATAGCCCTAGGGCCGTATAGCCCTCATAGCCCTATAGCCTTATGGCCTAACAGCCTTATAACCCCATAGCCCTCTGGCCCTATAGCCCTATAGCTCTATATGCCTATATACCTATAGCCCAATAGCTCTATAGCCCTACAGCCTACAGACTTATAGCCCTATAGCCCCATAGCCCTATAGCCATATAGCTCTATAGCCCAATTGCCCTAATAGCCCTATAGCCATTTAGCCCTTATAGCCCTATAGCTCCATAGCCTATATGCCTACATCCCTATAGCCAAATAGCCATATAGCCCTACAGCCCTACAGCCTACAGACTTATAGCCCTATAGCCCCATAGCCCTATAGCCCTATAGCTCTATAGCCCAATCGCCCTATAGCCCTATAGCCATGTAGCCCTTATAGCCCTATAGCCCTATACCCTAATAGACTTAGAATCCCATAGCCCTAGAACCCTATAGCCCTATAGCTCTATATGCCTATAGCCCTATAGTCCTATAAGCCTATAGCCCTATGAACCTGTAGCCCCTTAGCCCCATAGCCCTGTAGACCTGAAAAGAATATGATCGGGGCTGTTCTCCGGAATCATATATATGGCTAAGAATCAAAAATAGTCGAGACTAGACGAAAGATCGTCCCCAGACTATTTCCCTACCTAGGCTCTGCCTAGAAGGGTTCTTACTCTCTTTCTTAAAGGGGCCGGGCAGTGCACACCGCCCCGGGCGGTTCCCCCAGTATCCGCCCCGCAGTTCCCCCAGTTACGTCCCCTTAGCTTAGCGTTGCTTATCTCATCTTAGCTTAGCTTATTTCATCTTAGCTTAGCTTAGCTTCATCTTAGCTCAGGTTTAGATTAGCTTTGCTTACCTTCATCTTAGCTTCGCTGAGCTTTAGCATAGCAGAGCGCAGCATAGCATAGCATAGCATAGCATAGCGTAGCATAGCATAGCGCAAAACAGCATAGCCCAGCATAGCATAGCATAGCATAGCATAGCGCAGCACGGCACAGCACAGCATAGCACAGCGCAGCATAGCATAGCATAGCGCAGCTTAGCGTAGCGTAGCAGATCATAGCTTAGCATAGCACAGTGCAGCATGACATAGCATGACATAGCATAGCATAGCATAGCATAGCATAGCATAGCGCAGCATAGCATGGCATAGCATAGCGCAGCATAGCATGGCATAGCATAACATGGCATAGCATAGCATAGCATAGCATAGCATAGCATAGCAACGAATGCTGCTTTCCTAGGGGCTCCAACTTCTAGGTAGGGTCGCACTGGGGTAATTGTTTGACTAGTTTTGAATATCCCTCCTGTAGAGGGACACGCCCGACTTGAGCCATGGAGCTCCCGCCGCACCGCTCGGAGCACCTTCCTGCCGCTCTTGGCTGCTCTGCCTGCGCGCCCCGATCGGCTTGCGAGCGGGGGCAGCCGCCGCCGCACCTTCTACATCCACCGGCCCTCCAGGCAAGGAGGGCGACGTGTGCGGCAGCTGGCCGCGAGCCAGCGCGAGACGGCCGGGAGGAACGCCAGCTGGGGATCCCAGAACCGTGTGGTGACGGACCGTGCGGTGACCTCGGAACCCCAGGAGACCTCACCGCACGGTCCGCCACCGCACGGCCTTGGGACCCTGGAGGCCCCTGCCGCCCGAGACGTCCTCGGAGAGGGACTCGAGCCCCAGAACCGTGCGGTGACCCCGGGTCCCCACCGACTCACCACGCGGCGTGGTCGCCACACCTTTTCGGGGGCCCCCGGGCCAAGGGGGAGGAGGGCGGGGGCGCTCCGGGGCGGCAGGGTCACCAGGGCGAGAGAGGGGCGGCAGCAGCACCCTGGCGGCTCGCACAAAGTGGGGGGGGGGAGGGTGGTCTCCTGGGCAGAGGCGGGGGGGGGGTCTCTTGGAAGGCGGGGGGGCCTCCGTGGAAGGGCCCAAGAGGCTTGTGAGAGGAGGCTTCCCCGAAGCCTCCCAGCCCCTCCGAGATTTGGGCGTCCAGAAGGGGTGCGGAAAGAGTGGGCACGGTGCCCACCAACAAACGCTGTCCAAAACCGACAGCGGCCGCTGTTGGGCAGGCGGTCTTCTGTCTCAAATGGGCAACGTCCGCAGCGAGGGCTCACGCGCAGCCTTACACGAGCAACTGACGCGCCAACGTCCGCGTGGCCGAACCCCTTGCCTTGCCCCTTTCTTCACGTCGCTCAACTGATCTGAGATGACGAGTTCGGAGGCGAGACCAGGGAGGAAGTGAGATGGGGCGGGTCTTTTCAGAAGGCCCAGAAGTTCTCAGGCCTTGCGAGAGGTTTTCAAGCCTTCCCCGAAGACGCAGAAAACTTCTCAGAAGGCCGGCAGGCTACTGAGAAGCCCCGCCGCCTTCTGAGAGGACCTTCTCCTCCTGACTTCCCCCCCTCGCTCGCCGCCGAAAAAGGTCTCTGGAGCCAGCTGGTGTCTAGATGTCCCCAGAATTGGAAAAGTCCACGGTTCGCTAGGGACGGGCTTCCCCCAAAACGACCAAAACCCTCCCGAGCCCCTCCGAAAGCCCTCTCGGGAGGGATTTCGCAGAGGTTCGGGAACGTTCTCGGAGGGACCAAGCAGGGTTCTGGCCGCTTTAGCACACACACACACAGACACACACACACACCACCACCACCACCACCACCACCACCACCACCAACAACAACAACAACAACAACCACGACCACAACAACAGCAGCAGCAGAAGCAGCACAACAACAACAACAACAACAACAACAACAACAACAACGACGACAACAACAACAACAACAACAACAACAACAACACCAACACCAACACCAACACTAACAACAACAACAACAACAACAACAACAACAACAACAACGACGACAACAACAACAACAACCACAACAACGATAAAAAAAAACAACAACACCAACAACAACAACAACAGCAACAACAACATCAACAACAACAGCAGCAACCACAACAAGAACCACAACATCAACAACCACAACACAAACAACAACAACAACAACAACAACAACAACAACAACAACAACAACAACATCAACAACAACAACAACAACAACAACAACAACAACAACAACAACAACAACAACAACAACAACAACAACAACAACAACGACGACAACAACAACAACAACCACAACAACGATAAAAAAAACAACAACAACAACAACAGCAACAACAACATCAACAACAACAGCAGCAACCACAACAAGAACCACAACATCAACAACCACAACACAAACAACAACAACAACAACAACAACATCAACAACAACAACAACAACAACAACAACAACAACAACAACAACAACAACAACCTCATCAACAACCGCAACAACAACGACGACGACGACGACGATGACGACAACAACAACAGCAGCAGCAACAACAACAACCACAACAACAACGACAACAACAAGAGCAGCAGCAACAACAACAACCGCAACAACAGCAGCAGCAAAAACAACAAACACAACAACAACACAACAACATAAACCAACCGCAGCAACAACAACAGCAGCAACATCAACAACCGCAACAACAACAACAACAACAACAACAATAACGACAACAACAACAGCAGCAACAACAACAAAAGCAACAAAAGCAGCAACAACAACAACCACAACAACAACAGCAACAACAACAACAACAACAACAACAACAACAACAACGACGATGGCAACCTAGCCAAGCGTTTTTCTAACAAATGGCGCCGGCGCAGATCGTGACGTTGCCGGCCGCGCCACTCCCCCCGCCACTGCAACGTTAGGAGTAAGACCAAGCTCCTGGGTCCTGGGGCTCACTACACAGGCCAGGCCCAAGGACGGGCGTTGTGGAGCCCTTCGTCCCGTCGAGGCTCGAGGCTCCAACTGCGAGGCGTCTCTCGGGCAGTGGCTGCGCCTGGACTTCGAAGGAGCGCCCAAGGACGGACTCAAGAATCCCGAGACCCCTTCGAAGCCAGAGCGGCCCTTACTCCCTTACTCCCCAAATCTCTAAATCTCTGAAGTCGTGATTTTTGTCGCAGAACGTGGACCTTCCGGGACCGGCTTCTCATCCTGGCCCGATGAGGGCCCCAAAAAACTTCCGCCGTGGTGTCTTCACGCCGCGAGACGGTCGGGAACCAGTGACGCCGTGCCTGCAGTTGCCCGTGGACCCGGTGTGCTGCCACGCCCCTGCTGCGAGGGGAAGGCGCCAGGGCCCGCGTCACTCCTCCGTGGCGATGGACTTCGGCGTCTCCCCCCACTCCTGGACGTACACCTCCCGGATCCAGCTGTCCAGGACCTCGGGGCCGAGGCTGGCCCGGGCCCCCCGGAGAGCAGGCGGCGAGCGGGCAGGGGGGAGGCCGGAGAGAGGAAGGGCAGCCCTGGACCCAGACAGGCTCGCGTCGGGATTTTCGGCCCTGGGGGGCCCTCGCTGGGCCTGGGGACCGTCCAAAAACGACTCGGGGCGAAGAGCCGGTCCCCGGGAAAGGGCCGGGACTTCCAGGGACGCCGTCCGGAAAAAGCAGGACGGCGCACGTCTGGGGAAGCGAGCCCGGCCCCCCGAGTGGACGACGAGGGGGAAGGGCTCCAGGGCTCCAGGACCCAGAGTGACGACAACGAGTTCGGAGCAGGCGGCGCAGGAGCCCCGAGAATAGAAATGCGGGGCCGAGGAGCTGATGAGGTACGACTCGTCCTGGGGAGAGGGACCGGGGGAGGAAGGCACACCAGCGCTGCGCACCCCCCTTGCAGGCACACGTCCGACCCGGCCGCACCTGTGCGACCACTCGTCGGGTGAGAAAGGAGGTTGGGGGGGTGGGGGGGTAAGAACCAACTGCTGGCAGGTGCGATGGGTGTGATGATGACGATGCTGGTGACGCACCCTCGAGTTGGCGACGGTGGCGCGACGTAGTGTCACTATCGTCCCCGCCTTCGATCTCGCTCGGTCGATCGAACCCCCTTGGAGGCACACGTCCGACCCGACCGTACAGCATAACCACCCTGCAATCTGCTGTCGTCCAAGCAGAGGAGGAGGAGGAGGAGGAGGAGGAGGAGGAGGAGGAGGAGCAGAGGAGGAGCAGGACGAGGAGGAGGAGGAGGAGGAGGAGGAGGAGAGGAGAAGGAGGCAGCGGCGATTCGGCGTGGGCGTCGCCTGGCAGAAGCGGCAGAGGCAAGCAGAAGCCATGCGCCAGCCTGTGGCAGGGCGCCTGGGCTGACATTCACACACACGACTTGAGAGCTGCACGCGCCCTTGGCTTTGAGCGGGCCTCCGATGCGCCGATGCGAGGACGAATTCATGCGCCAACTTGTACACACACACACACACACACACACACACACACACACACACACACACACACACACACACACCGAGCCCAACCATATGCAATTGTGAGTACCGACGTTGTGAGTATCGCCTTTGGCGCCATGCGGACCCTGGCGTCTGGGCCTTGGCTGGAGCTTTCTACGGGGCCACGAAACGCGTGAGGGGCGTGCGAACATGAAACGCCGACGCCATGCGAACCATTGCCTTTGGGACTTGGCTGGAGCTCCCTATGACATTGAGGCCACGAAACGTGTGAGGGGTGTGTCGAAAAGAAGCACCTGCGCCACGCGAGCCCTGGCATTTGGGCCTCAGCTGGAATCCCTGTGGGGCCACGAAAGGTTTGAAGGGCGTGCCGACATGGGGCACCTACGCCATGCGGACCCTGGCAGTTGGGCCTTAGCTGGAGCTCCATATGGGACCACGAAGCGTGTGAGAGGTGTGTCGAAACGAAGCACCGACGCATTAAGGACCCTGGCATTTGGGCCTTACCTGGAGCTGCCATGGAGCAACGAAACGGGTGAGCGGTGTACCGAAATGAGGCACCGAAACCTGGCGGACCCTGGCATTTGGGCCTTAGCTTAAGCTCCCTATGGGGCAACGAAACGTGCGAGTGGTGTGTCGAAATGGGGCACCGACGCAATGCGGATCCTGGCATTTGAGCCTTAGCTGGAGCTTCCTATGTGGACACGAAGCGCGTGAGAGGTATGCCGAAATGAGGCACATACGCCATGCGGACCCTGTCATGTGGGCCTTAGCTGGAGCCCCCTTATGGGGCAACGAAACGAGTGTGAGGGATATGCCCGAATGAGGCCCCGACGCCGTGCGGACCCTGGCATGTAGACCTTACCTGGAGATCCCTATGAGGCTACGAAAACGTCTGATGGGTGTGCCGGAATGAGGCACCGAGGCCATGCGAACCCTTGCATTTGAGCCTTAGCTGGATCTCCATACGGGGCCACGAAACGTGTGAGTGGTGTGCCGACTCTGATGGCGATGATGGTGATGATGACGGCGGCGACGAGAACGATGATGATGATGACGACGATGCTAATGATGCTGATGCAGACGATGAATATGTTGACGATGGTGATGGTGATGGCGATGGCGATGATAATGATGATGATGATGATGATGATGATGATGATGATGATGATGATGATGATGATGATGATGATGATGATGATGGTGATGGTGATGGTGATGGTGATGATGGTGATGGTGATGGTGATGGTGATGGTGATGGTGATGGTGATGGTGATGGTGATGGTGATGGTGATGGTGATGGTGATGGTGATGGTGATGGTGATGGTGATGGT